TGTGGGTCCCACGTGCAATTTACTACTCACGCGAAAGAAATAATAAAAATTTACAACTTCGTAAATTCATTAATCATTTAATAAGGTTCAATACATTATTTACATAAAAGTAAATATATTTGGGGACGGTGTTACACAAAATCAACGATCTAGTATGTGTATGTGCATCAACTACCCACTGTGTGTGTAATATAAACTATATATCTAATGGTTTTTTTAATCAACAGTGATAAATATTTAACATAAAATTAGAGTCGTTTAACTTTGATATATGCAATTATCAACCTATTTCACACATTATAGGTATAATCTCTAATACGAAGTATATGTGAGTTAGTGTTTATTTCAAAAACATTGAAATATATTTATGTATATTAATCATAGAATTGATTCACTTTAGTATATTATGCACAACCTAAAAATGCATTGATCTATTAAATTTCGAGTTGTGCTAGAGGTACCTCATTTGGTACCTCATTTGTACACCCTTCCTATATTTGTGGTTTACAAAAGCCCAACACATTAAATGAATTGCTCCATTTTAATGAATTGCTTTTGTAAACCACAAATATAGGGAGGGGGTACAAAATGGGGTACAAATTGAGGTGACAATAGCATTTGTGTTAAATTTCAAATAAAAATGAAATGTTACAAATTGAATTCTAAAAACGCATATTAAGCCATAACATACATTATAACATCATAGATATAGGAAAAATTGTTTTAAAGTGATATTTGATTGATATTTAACTTATGATCAAATCGATTTGATATTCGCATTGTCAATCAAATACGAATACAAATCAAAATTAATATTCATTTCATATTTGAATTCAAATACATATACAAATACAAAAGCACACTATTTCACCCGATTCAATTTGTTTACAAGTGAATCAATACGTATACAAATACAAAGTGATATTTGATTGATATTTAACTTATGATCAAATCGATCTGATCACTTCCAAAAGGGAAAAAAGGGTCAAATACACCCTTCTACTATTCTAAAAACATCATCTAGACCCCTATACTAAAAAACGATCATATGAATACATCTACCTGTACAAAACCATCAAATGAATCAAATGACCGGAGAACTACCGCCTCTTGCAAGTTAGTGACCGTGTACAGTATAAATGACTGTTCCCATGATGTCATCCACTTGTCTTTTTTACTTTCTTTCGCATTTTTTATTTTTTTCTCAAACGTGGCCTGTCTTATTGGCTGCATAACTGCATCCATTTGTTTTTCTTTTCTTCCTTCATCCTACTCCTTATTATGGACTTATTATTCTTAAAAGTTTTTTGTTTTTAGTTTTTCTTCTTCCTCTTCGTTTATTTCCTTTTTTAGTTGTCTTCCATCAAGATATGTGTTCAGATATTTCCTTCTAATTATTTCAATAAATTATCTATCATTTTTTATTTATAAATAATGTTCGTTCTTGGAAAAAGTAAACTAGCCAATTAATAAATCATTTTTAAAAAAGGCTAAAGGGTCAAATAGGTACATGAACTAACTTAAAGTGTTCAATTAGCCCCTTATATAGGAGGTTCTGCCCAGCCGTCGTCAATTTAGGCGGTTCCCGGTGGAATTTTTTGATGAAAGTTTTTGAGCATCTTCTTCATTAAGTCTAGTTTATCCATACCAAATTTCAGCTAAAAATTCAACTGGGAAGGCAGTCAAATGATTTTTTGAAGATAACTGCGCAGTTAAATAACGCAGTACATTTCAGAAAATCATTTGACTGCCTTCCCGATTTAACTTTTAGCTGAAATTTGATATGGGTAAACTAGACTTAATGAAGAAGATTCTCAAAAAATTTCATCAAAATATTCCACCAGAAACCGCCCCAATTGGCGACGGCCGGGCAGAACCTCCTATATAAGGGGCTAATTGAACACTTTAAGCTAGTTCATGTACTTATTTGACCCTTTAGCCTTTAAAAAATGTTCAGTCTTGGAAAAAGTAAATTAGCTAATTTTTATTTATTTGTGCCAAATATTATTTGTCTAACACAGACCTTTATTAGCCCGTACCAGACATTTATTGATCATATTGGAACGTAGTTCTTATCATTAAAACGGAATTAACATTATTGCATATTTGAAACAAAGTTTGGCATCCTAAAAAAATGTCGGAGAAGTCCACTTTTAAAGACAAAAAAAGCGTGTCAGAGCATCTCCAATGGGGATGTCTATTCTCTTACACACTCTTACAATTGGGTCCCATTTTTTATCTCACAAATTTTATGTGTAGGACCTACATATCTCCTTATTAATTTTCATTTTCATTTTTTTATATCACTTCTAACCCACTTTTCATCCACTTTTGCTCCTCGATTCCCGTGTAATGTCTATTTGTGGACATTGTCATAGACATTGTCTACAATTTACTCATATCTCTCTCTTCCTTTTCATTTTTCCATACACACCACTTTCTCCATATTAAATTAAAATAATCACTCTATCTCTATCTCTCTCCTATGCCACGTAGGATAGACTTTACTCCAATCCACTATTCCATTGGAGATGCTCTCATACTAAAAAATGTCCACATACAGTAAAAATTTGTACACTTTTTGTTCCACAAATTTATTGTTTGTAAAAGTGGATATCTCAGATTAGTATTTTTTTAAGTGTCCAAAATTAGAACACAAAAGTTATTGGTATGAAGGAGTTTCAAAGTGTGTACGCAAAATATAGTACCTTTGTCCCAAAATGATTTGTCATATTGACTTTTTTGTAACATTTTTGTATGTACGTGAAACTTATTTTCTGTAAAATTGGATTTCTTAAGATCGATATTCTCTGTGTGTGGTCTAACTTTGCAAAAATATTTAATTTGTTTGTACGAAGAATTTTGAGAATGTTTACAAAAGTTACACAATTTTTTCGGCATTGTATGAAACTTTTATTTATTTGTGTCTATCTATATTTCATAAAAAAATGCATACTCAATAGTTATATATTGCATGCTTGGACCTGTAGTTGTATGCAATTTCTAATTTAACTGAAATTAGAAATTTTTTAGTGTAGGCTTTGCCTAAGAAGGTATATAGTGATTTTTTTCCTATTAGCCATTATGTACAGTCTGTATTAGCTGCGTTGCAGTGTAGGCTTCGCCTAAGAAAGTATATAGTAATGAGAAGGTATATAGTAATGTTTTGCTAGCTTTAAGACACTTTGTATTTTGGGCATTGTGTCATATATCATAAAAACCTGAAATAACTCACAAACTATTAACCTTAAAAGCATTAAAAGAGTGTCTCGTATACATGATTACAAACAATTAGACATTTATTGTCTATAATTTTTTTTTCTTACTGACATTTTTTCTATTGCCTAAGTTTATAGAAAAAAGTGTCAGTGTAAAAATGTGGAAAATATATGCAAAAAAATATACTCCCTCCGTAACATAAAAATCTTCTCACTTTCCTTTTTCGTCCGTAACAAAAAAATCTTCCCATTTTTAAATCTTCCCATCATACCCTCAATAATTATCAAAATAATACACTATTACAACTACTTTTTTTGGATTTATACTACATTCCATCACAATATTTCACTATCTTCCCATCATACCCTCAATAATTCATATTTTCTTTCACTATTCTTAATCTATCTACTTTTGAAATGAGAAGGTTTTTAAGTTACGAGTAGGCTAGTAGCATCTTGAAGGAACGCATGTTGTAGGGGAAAGGGAAGCAAACACGTTTTAATTGGACTAAACATTTTTTGTACTATTTGTTTAATGTCTTGTCATTTTATGATTGAGTAACATACTCCATCTTTCCATTTTATAAGATAGTTTTACTATTCACTTGATCAACACAAACCATTCTTAATCTCTTACTTTATAAATTAAAATTTTATGAAATTTGAATTATTTTTTGCAGGTTTTGTAGCGGCTTTAATGTAATTTCTGAATATGTAACTTTTTTTTAAAAAAATAATTTGAGTGCAGACAGGGATCCGTTTGCTCTATTGTTGGTCAAACATTGTAAACCGAAAAATATCTTATAATTCGGGACGAAGGGAGTATTATTTATGTGTATTTTATTAATTGTAATTGTAATAAAGTCCGATCTGATGTGGTATATGATCTACTCCATATTACTCCCTTCGTTCAAAAAAGATTGACCAAATTGACTTTTCTTGGTCAATGGCGATCAAGTTTGACCAACGATATATTTTAATACAAAATTAATTAAAATATGAAAATAATATGAGCATATTCTTTATTAAATAATCTTTCATAAAAGTATTAAATTTATAAATTATACACAAATATAATACCTACAATTATTATCTAAACTTTAACATCATTGACCAAAAAAGTCAAATCGGTCAATCTTTTTAGGACAGAGGGAGTAATTGAGTCTGGTGTAATCTTTTTTTATAAAGCTTCTGGTGTAATCTAATTTGATACTAAAAAATGATTAAATAAAATTATTCCAAAAACCAAGGAAGAAGAAAAACATAAAGAACAAAAGGAGCTAAAAGGAAAGGAGAAAGAAAAAAGGACAGGGAAATAACGAACAAACATCAAAAGGAAAGAGAGAATGAAGTAACGTAAAAAAAGAAGAGAAATTAAAATGAGAACCCGAGGAAACAAGAAATGAACCTCTAGAACAGGTTGGGTAAAAAAAACAAAAGAAAAAACAAAATGGGAATGACCTGCTATTGTAGGTTGTTATTAAGTCACTTGATCTAATTGATGGATTTTTTATAGCAGATGTATTTGGATGATACTTTTTTTAGTAGAAGAGTTTAGATGATGTTTTTGAAACAGTAAATGAGTTTATTTGACCCTTTTCCTTCCAAAAGCGAAGGTAAGGTGCAGCTACCAGCGTTGCTTACGTTGCATCGGGCTGGCCACGGGTTACCCGGATGACCAACCCGCACGAAAAACCTGGAATCATCTAGACGCACAGCTAGAAGAGTCCAGCGTTCATACATATACATATACAGAGTCCTTCACCGCCTTCCTCCCTCTCTGTAAACCTGATCGGGCAATTGAAGAAGAAAAAGGAGGACGATGTTCTTCTTCTTCGCTGGAGGAGTAGAGAATCAAGTGAAGCAGGTTCTGAAGAGCGGGGTGGGGAGATGCATAGCCTGCGGATCCAGGGCGGATCTGGTCGACTACGAGAAGGTCTTCAAAGTCTTCTTCGTCCCCGTTTGGAGAAGGCCCGGCGACCGATCGTCCCTTTATTGCAACAAGTGCAAGCTTTTCTTCCCCCAGTCTCTATCCCCTTCCCAATTTCCGCCGCCGCGCTCCCCGGATGGTCTGAGCTGTGGCTTCTGCGGCCGGGAGGTTGAGGCTGATTTCCGGTTCTGCCCCTATTGCGGTGCCGCAATTTGAACCTACTCTCTGTTTATAGTAACGTCTTCCCGTTCTCGTTTGAAAGAAGCAAATGAAATAAATTTGCGACTTGTCAATGTATTGTACTGCTATATTGACATGGCCATAGTTGTACACTTTCACTGATGCAATCATTCAAACACTTAGCTGCTAAATACGAGATGTACAGAAAACAGGTTTTGATCTCTACATAGAAGAAGGGAGCATTAGAGCATCCATATCAACTAATTGTCTAATCAATACTTCCTTTGTCTCCATTTAAAGTTTCATATTAATTTATTAAGTTGAGTTTTTCTTTTATGATTTTATAAATTATTTAATGCTCCATATAATTTTTGAAAATGTAAATTTTATTTGCTATATAAAGTCTAATTACAGACAGAGACCAATTAACTATACGACCAAATTAATTAAACATGGTAAATCAAGTGAAAACTTTTATAAGTTATATAAAGTCTATAATTTTCCGATTAAAGCTTTAAAATCTAGCCTTATAAGTTATAAAGTCTATAATTTTTACTAATGGTCAATAGTGCATTGACAATAAAAAATTAAAAGTGTTGCAATTATATATATAAACCGAACCAAGACAATAATATTTACGGAGTATTTCAGAATTACAAGCCAAAGAATGATAACTGCACTCTCATAAATGTTAAAAATATTCAAATTATTTATTTAAAACTATAAATTTACATTTGTGAAAGAAAAATCATATTTTTATTGTGTGTTTGAATATTTATATTATATATACAAGTTTGAAGTATTTACATCACACCGCTTCAAAGTTTGAAGTATTTACACATCGTTAGTATGTCTAAATAAAATAATAAATGAATAAATAAATACATTGTTCTGCTAGTCCTACTACAGCCAACCATAGGCTGGGCAGGTACACCAAGTTGGCGATCATGGTACAGTGATAACATTCGGAGTATATACATATAAATGAAGCCACTTACATCTTGCAAAAAATTCCCCAAGGGCGGATATGTTAATGAGGATGGAGGAAGGGTTGTCCTCCCCATTTTCTTCTAAGACGCCAAATGACAGGTTCAAGAAGCAAATTATGCAACCTCATTAGCACCTAAGTATGGAATGGAGGTGAGGTTAGAAGGAAAGAGCATAGTTGAATAAGACATTCCAAGTGTCAGGTAAGCCAGGAAGGCACCAATGGCTGCAATCAGCAGTTTTTTGGTTGGCCATTTCAGCTGAGCTGCTACTTGCACTGTAAACAGACGGGTGTCCATCTTTTCTCATTTCCGAGAGTGCAGTTATGTTGAGCAAGAATGGTGGGTTCTTCATTCCTCCGATTACATTCGCCAACACCTCTTCGATTGGGTCGGGGTATGTCACTGGATATGTTGTACTAGGTCCTGTCTGTCCAGTACAGCTCTCTGACGTTGTAGTTGTCGGTCCTATATTCCATTGCCCGGAGCTATGCATAACAGAATCATGGTGTGATTGCACAATCTTTCATCATTATATCATACAGATACAAGACGAGACTACTTGGAGGAATTTCCTATATTGATCTTCCCAACTATGGTGATTCCGGTAAAGTCATTCTTTTTAAGTAAAAAAACTGGGTTTCATGCCTAGGACAATTACAAGAGACCTACTGGTTAGAAATTCGAGTCCCCTTCGATCATATCGCTATGTCACTATCTCTCTTGATTATCATATAAATTGAGCCGCAAAATCAAGTCTAAGTGATTGATAAAAAAATGTTCAATGCAACAACAACATTTACGCCATTGTCGCAAAGATTCACACCTACAATGAGGTAAGGGGATCAGATGTATACAACCTTACTGTGTACTAAAGCAAGAAATTGTTTCTGAATGATCCATGATAAAAATCACATTGGAAATTGCATGAACTAACTATTGTCTCATCATAACAAAGAAGCACATGCAGTTTAATGAACCATTTTGCTTTATTTCATCATATTCTCAATTCTAAAATACTTAGTCTTTGGTTTCATTGGAAATGGTGGAAATGATAAAAAATGGTTTATAAGTTAGATAAATCGAAAAAGGAGATATAAAAGAGCTTATTAGTTTTGTTTGTTTTCTAGCGGTCTGGCTGAAACGCCAACCCAATTTGCTCCATTTTGTAGCACTTCAAGGGTGTGTTTGACAAAACTAATTGAAAAAGATACTTTTATGAGTTTTATAGTAACTGTTACTCCCTCCGCCCCATTTGGACCTCTACACTTTTCTTTTTGGGACGTCCCATTTAAATCTTTACGTTTCCTTTTTAGGTAACTTCTTTCACATTAAATGTCTTAATTACCCTTCACTACCCACCCACTTTTTACATTTGAGTGGATAACATTAATTTCCCCCAATATTCAAAGGACATGCAAGACATTTGCTCTTCTATTAATTAGGCTCCTAAAACACCGTGCCAAAAGCAAACATCAACATTTAACCGGGACGAAGGGAGTAGTTTATAGTGACAGAAAAGACCTTAAAAGAAAAGGGATGGTAGTTGTTTTATAAAAAGCTCACTGTTTTATAAAAAGCTCACTGTTTGGGATTAATTAATGCTAAAAGCTACATACTTTTCTCAGATGCTACTCATTGTAGTATTTAAAAAAAAATCTTTTATTTTTAAAAAAGCTCTAAAAATTGGTATGTCAAACATTTAACTAGTAGCTTTTAGAGACTTCTTAAATAATACTCCGTATGGAGTACAAAAACTAAAAGATGTAGACTTGTGCCTACAAAACATGCACTTAATTCAATTGTTTTGGCGTTTTGGTTGAACTATTGAAGACTTGAAGCTGATATGCAAACATAGCAAGTCTTTTACCTCCCGTATGGTTGGGGGATTTTGGAAGGGAGGGGAGGGAAGGGGAGGATTAATTTTTTACTTTATTAATTTATCTGAATTTATTTGTTTTTTACTACAAATAAATATATAATTAGTTAAACCGTGTATTTTTATATACTATTGTGTCCTCATTTTATTTCAATTTTTCTAAATGTAAAAATTATTTTAAATTTAAATAAGACTCCTCCCCTTCCCTCCCCTCCAAAATCCGCAACTATTTTGACCCTTAAACTCGTTAAAAATTACCGAATCCGAAGAATAAAAATGGATTTATTTTTTCATTGCAATTTTTGTTTACTTTTACATTGAAAACGCGACCAAGCTAGAGGGAAAACGATGTTTGTTTAAGAACTATAACTTTTGAAAAACACATGGACAAAATATTTGCCTGGTGCAGAAATAGTAATGACAGCTAATCCTAGAAAAGAGAACCCAAAAAGTCATCTAACCCAAATCTTTTCTCCCACCCAACTCCAAAAGGGGAGATATTTTACACGCGCACAATAATACACTCCATTGACCAGCCTGTTAATCTTAACCATGAACCCCCAAAGTCAATTATCATAAAGAGAAAAAGAAGAAATTGTTGATGGAGTTTCACCTGCGAATGGTTAAAAGAGAAAGAAACGTACCCGTAGTGTGTAGGGGAGATATTTTGGAAAAACACTTTCGTTCTACTGAAATCAACATTATTATCAACCCATTGTGACCATGTTCTCAGCCCTCTTTCAAGAGCATCCAGTGGACTCTGAAAAGCTTGATGTTGCACCCCATCATACTCCACATAGTCCCAACTGCACCCGATTAACTTTTTGAGCAATCAATGGAATAAACCACAGATTTTACATTGAATACTACGGAGTATATAAAGATCCCAATTATTAACTTGTCATTTTGGCTTATAAACCTTATCATTCAACCTTTTTATCAAACACATAAATTTTAATTTCTTACCTTGAATTATGTACAGTATGTAATAAGAATCAAATTAAGTAAAGTTAGACTTCACTTTTTGGCTAAATTAGCCGAAGATCACTATTTTGGCTATTTTTCAAATAATATTTTTAATAAAATAAATTTTAGATATTTCCTTAATAAAATTTATCTTAAATACGAAGTGTATTTCTTCCACAATTCAATAGTTTCAGCCGCTTTAGCTAGAATTCCACCGATTTAAATAAATTCAACCAATTTTGTGTTACCACATGGGCCAAAATAGGAGTAAAAATGAAGTGACTTTCCCAAATAAGAGTACATATTTTTTTCTCTAAATATAAGCAATGTCATTTTGAAATCTGCCATACTATATTACTATGGCATATTGGCACTATCAAACATTACACTCTCTATCCCAAAATAGTTTGCCAGTTATCCTTATTTAGCCTTCTCAAAAAGTTGTCATTTCCTTTTAAAGTAAGAACTTGCAGTTCATGCTATTTATCCCAGCTTTACATACACTTCAATCACAACTTTAATTTTATTATTCTACATTTAGTCATTTATACGTGCAAGTCAAAATTGGCCAACCTTTATAAAAAGGGGATTATGACACAATTAATTCACGCTTAAAGAAAAAACACAGTTCTTCTGATCCGGAAAACAGGAGCAACTTCTTTCTTAGAAGGGAGAAGTGCATAGATAGATAAATACCCTTGGGTAGAGCCTGAATGAGACCACCAGTGACCCGTGTTAAAAGAAAGCACATCTGCATTCAACCAAGCATTCCCGTTCCCTCTTATGTCATCCAGTTTCAGATATCTCTTCCCCTGGTACATGTCTATATCCACAAGGAATACTGCTTTGTAGTACGATATTTTCACTCCATACTCCTGAATTTTTTAGCAGTTAATTTATCACTAATCAAACATCTGAATACTAAACACACATAATTTTTAGCATCCCTCTCAAATTGGTTTGCTAATTACAATTTACGAACTTCAACTTATGATAAAATTAAATTTTTATTCAATTACAAAATCAGAATCTGAATTACTAAAAGTTTGATATGGAGTTGGAGAATAAAAATCAATCAGGTTGACCACATGAATTGTAACATATCGAGCATGAAGACAACTCTTAAATCATTCCTAAAATTCTCATAAAACTTTTCTGCTGCTTCAACTATATTGTTCTAATCTTAGTATGATATCCAACAATTAATCATAATATGGCATCAAGCAATTTCATTTTGATAAAAAACAACAACAACGAGAACATGAAATTCAAAATTGGTATGCTCCAATAAGCCAAAATCTATATGTTAAGTTCTCTAATACGCTAGCTAAAACTAGCAAATGAGTTTTAATTTTGTCCAGAGTTAAAAAATATTTACTTACAAAAATGGAGCTAATCTAATAAGAAGAGCAATTGAAGTTACTGTGTGATGTTATATCTTTATAATGGGTGATATTAGGTCCCTGAGGTGACTATAAAATAGATTCACAATTAAGTAATTAAATATCATTTCAAATGCAAAAAAATAGTCCCAGATACTTACAGGGAAAGATACAGAGGATAACGGGTCGCCGCCGTTCATCTGGGTTTGGGGTTTTGGATCAGAAGGTGAAATCAAGGTTTGAATCATACAAATCAACGACTCAAACTGGTTGCGGCTCAGAGAATCGCCCACAAACATCACACTCTTCCCCCTCATTTGATTCAGAAATCGGATCCCGTTGAAACTAGGGAGTTCACAGGCGGCCGGCTGCCACCGATACTTGAGGTAATTGGTGTCCGGTCTCCGGCCGCAGTCAAACGTCGAGTCAATGAAGTTGCAGCTCGAGGGTGAGTAGAGAGGGTAGGATTCATCGTAGATCCAGCTGCCGTAGAACATATCGCAAGAGGGTTTGATTACCGGCATTCTGGCTTGTTGTAAGTGCTGCTGCTGGCTATGTCGGCCCTTCCAAACGTAATACGCCGTTGAACGGAGATAAAGCGAAAGTAAAAATAGAGCTGTAAAGGAATATGAAAAGACATTGCTGGGAGAAAGAAGAGCCATTGCCGATGGCTGCAGAAAGGTAAGAAGGTTTGTATAGCTGGTTATATATGGAATCCACTCCGTAAAAAGCAAGGGGTTGAATGATGAATCAAATAATGCCGTGTTGTAAAGGTGAGGTGAGGTTTCTTCTGCTGCCGTCCATTAAAGTTTGTACATAAAATATTAAAAATACGGAGTATTGTTTTGCTCTCGTTCAATCAAAATTAGATGAGAAAAAAATCAACCATTGTTGTACAAGGACCTATTTTTCATACCGATGAAAGAGATGTCTATGTCACAGATAAAAGAGATTGTCACTGCGAAAATGAATCTTCTCGCAAAACTAAAAAAATTATCGACAATTTAATCAGTGTAAAATGTTGTGTACAATTGGCTGTGTGCAAACATCATTTCTAAAAAAAGGAAAAAATACTACATATGACAATTTGTAATTGAGATTTTGAAGAGGAGGAAAAAATGAATAGAAAAACAAATGAGGTATTTTAGCTAGAAAGTGACAAAACTTTTGAGATAGACAAAAGAGAAAATCAACACAATCTAATAGGACTAAAGGGATATACTCCCTCCGTTTCTAAAAGAAAGTCACGGTTTGACTTCACGATTATTAAGGAAATAAATTGACTTTACTGTAGAAAACACTGTTTAGATACTGTTTGGCACTGTTTGGACACTGTTTGGCACTGTTTGGCACTGTTTGGCACTGTTTGGATGTAGATATCTTTGCCAAATAAGGAAATAAGGGAAGTGTGACTTTTATTTTGGCACATCCAAAAAAGGAAAGTGTGAGGTTCTTTTAGAAACGGAGGGAGTACAATACTGCAATGTTCACCTATTCAACGAAAGCAATCATAACTCAATAAATATGCCCGTTGTAACCGCAATCCAATAAATCAAATTTGAAATAAGTTTATAGTCCCTTTTTCTCTTAAAACTTTGTTAACTTTGATCGACACGAGAATTAATAAAGTAAAAATTATGTGATTGGAGTTTATGCAGATAAGAGAAAATTAACTGGCATCACCAATTCATTACATAAAGAGAAAGTGTCAAAGTTAATGGAACAAAAAAAGAAAGTTGACAAAGTTTTAATAGACGAATGGAGTACAAAAATTGGATATTCACTAATTAATCCAGCTTTCCCTATAATCCTGTATCATCAATATATTTACTTAACATATCTTTATCTTGATATATAAAGTAGTAGTGTTGCTACTACTATTGGAGGGACTATTCTTGCCAAATGAAAACACAATTGTGAATTGTTATGTGTGAAAATCAATCTCACCCAATTAATATAACATGTAGTTAATATATTCTTTCCCTTTTTACATTCAGTTAAATGTCTTATACCAGAAAAGTTTGAATCAACAAAGTGTTATATTAAGACAAGGGTTACTCCTCCTATCAGGTTGACCTTTTAGGATGGAACCCCGTGTCTTAACATGGTATCAGAGCCAAATCGATCCATGGTGTGAGGCCCCTTATGAAAAAATGACAATTACGGCCGGATGAAAAAAAACGGACCGATGAAAAGAAAATGAATGATGGTACTCCGTGAGGAGGGGTGTTAAATGTCTCACACCGGAAAAGTTTGAATCAACAAAGTGCTATATTATGACATGTGCTACTCCGTTGATCTTTTAGGATGGAATCTCATGTCTTAACTCATGTAGCTCCAAATTATTAATGTACTCCATATCAATTTGATTATGACGTAAGTAAATTTATTATCAAGTGGAGTAAAATTTTCACCAATACTTCTCACGTATTAACTATTACAGAGTAATACGGAGTATTTAGTAATTATGACACACGTTATATTATTAAGCTCAAATAAAACCCGTATAATTAAATTTTTTTGTCTTTATCTTTATATATTATGTTATTATATAATACTACCTTTGTCCTGTTCAAAGGTTCTCATTGCAAAATGCACGAAAAGGTTATTTGGACAATAATTAAATATGATAATTTGAGTACATATTGAGAAATAATATAACAAGATCGTTGATGATAACAGTAATGTTATAGATGCATTATTTTTAATACTTGATGATTCAATTGTCATTCAAAAGTACTAATTGTTTTCTAAAATAGAAATGAGAATCTTTAAATGGACATTCCAAATAAGAATGTGAGAACCTTTAAATGGGATAGAGGGGTATCGTAGCAAAGTTGTTACATGTTTTGTAGTGGAGAGCGATGCACAAAGTGGGGGACAAAGTGGGGGACAAAGTGGGGACTTGTGCATAGAATGGGAGGGAATCAAGATGGAGGTATTGGCTGTTGCTACAAACTACATAGATTGCTTGGTGCAATATGACAATGATGAACACAATGGGGATACACTGAATACTATATGTATTCAAAAGGATGATGTAGGCGTGGATCATTAGATTTGATAAAGCGATTGCCAAGATGCTCAAATCAACCTTGGTTAATTGTGGGGGATTTCAATAATATTCTATTTGAGAATGAATGGAGGGGTAGAATTTCTCAACCAACTTAGCTAATCAGGGTTTTTGTGACTCAGTTCGGAGTAACAGACTTTGCAACATTCCCTTTGAAGGTTATCAATGGACGTCGCAAAGAGGTAGAGACGTAGAGAAACGTCAAGATAGAAAGAAAAGAAGTCGAACCATATATTGGCTGAACTTGTGCGGGGGTGTGTGTGTGTGCAAGGCGGAGTCGTCTATCTCTAGAAGGCCAATCAAGTGGCCACCTTACGCTTTACTTCAAATTATTCAGGACAACAGATTTACAAGGAGAGAATTCAAGTTTGAAAAAATTTGGCTACGGGAGGACGAATGCAGAAAGCTTATTCTAAGATCATGGTCGAATTCACTAAATCTAACAGTGCGGCATAAATTATATAGGGTGTGGCCGTGTGCCCGTGTGGGGTGGAAATGGATGTAAGGAGCAAAAACTGAAAGGTCGGGTTCCAATCACAAATATATACTTGTAAAAATAGGTTGACATATTTACGTAGGGAGGGAAAAAATTGAACTTAGCCAAAATTTCAGAGTGAAGGGTGTTTTGTTGGAGTTACAAGATTTTTTAATAATGATGTGAAAATTATAAGACATCGAAATAAAATGAAATGGGATTGGGAGAGGGGATTGAGGGGGGGTCTTTTACCCCAGGGGGTCTGGGGGAGGGGACCGAAAGGAGGTTAGGATAAACGGGGCTGAAACTTTCGTCATGAAGTTTCGAACGCGAGACCTCCCGTATGAGATATATGTATGTGATAGTGACACCCTTTGCAATGTTAATTTTTTTATTTATCATAAATCATTTTTTTACATACTTTCTATTGCTACAACTGTTTCCAATATAAATGATGTAATACACAAGCAGTTCATTTGGTGTTAAAAATACCTACTATCTGTTGGTTCTTATAACAAACTATGTGGCACTTTATATGCTACGCTTAAAGAAGGTACAAGCTCAACATAATATTAAAAAAGTGTTTTTACTGAAAAATCACTAATTTTTTGTTTTTTAAGAAAATCAAGTATAGCATAAAGGTGTGTGTATATATATATATATATATATATATATTATATATATATATATATATATTTATATATATTTCTTATTTTTTATATTGTATATAGAGTACAATATATAACTAGAAAAACACTTTCAAAAAAAAACTACAAAGGCATATAAGCAGAATGGTTAAATAATTTCCATGTATGTTTAAAAGATATGTACTATATTAGCACATTAGAAACATCTTGTTGTTTAAAATTACAATGACAAAGTTTTAGTACAAAACTTGTTCATGTACTTGCTCATCATTTTGGATAACAAAGAAATCGTGTTCAACTTATTGCAAATGCTAACAATTTCTGCTGAAATATGTTGAAAAAGGACATTAGTACATGTATTGAGGTTTTTACTTTGGATATCTACAAATGCCCTCAGTACAACAAATGCATCAACACTTCAAAATGACTCCAGACCTATCACTCTTGTGTCCATGACTCCATGTATTTTCGAGCCCAATTTGTACCAACATAAGGAAATGTAACAACATAAAGACATGTACGGAGTTACATTTTTAGTTTCAATTCATCCTTTAATTTTAAATATAGATATTACGTAGATACTCTTTTTTTATGTCCATGACTCCATGTATTTTTGGGCCCATAACCCTCTCTTCTACTCTTCTCTATCAAAGCACAATGCAAGGTTTTAAAATTTCTCTTAGTTCAATACTTCAGTTGTTAAAGATTAGTTTAACTATTACTCTATTATGTTGCAATTGCTTTTTACTTGCAGGTTTTCAAAGTCACAAAATACGACAAGCACATTGACCTAAAGCTGAACAACCAACATGCTACTCTTTTACAAGCACGTTCATTCAAAATGAGGAAAAGAAACAACACCAAAAGTGTTATGTTAGGTTCTTGCTAAGGTGTCTTGTGTGGTCTTTATACTCCGTATAAAATATTACTACCTCCGTTCTTAAATAAAGGCAATACTTTGACTTTTACACTATTCACATGTTCTACTTTGACTACGTTTTATTTATTAATGTAATAATATTATTTTATGAAAAAAATATTGTTAAACTTGTTTCATTGTAAATTTTCATAATCTAATTTTTTTAATTTTTTTACTCATACAAAATCATTTATATTAATGGTCAAAGTTGTGTCTCGACAAGTGTGATTTGTTGA